TAGACCAATTTGATTGGAAATTGTCGCAGAGTATCAGAGGGAGTAAACCTTGTGGGTTGAGATACCCCTTTAGCCAGGTATGTATTGACAGAATACAGACCCAGGCTTCAACTTTTAAACAGCCTGCCTCCAGTCTTACCCTGGCATTTTACACACATCTAGGGACCTGTAAGATAGTTCTTAGGAACTTAGACTGGACTCTTTCTAGAGGTGCAAAATAGGAACTGGGTGGCCCCATGAATGAGCCATATAACAGTTGGGCTAGCGTCTTGGCTTTATATAATTTAAGGGCTGCGGGAACATATGACCCCCCCCCTTGAGAATAATGGAATTTTGCAAAACTAAATTGTTATTTAGTTTTCACTTTGCATCATCATGTTACATCTTAATTTGCTGCTCATTCTCCGGCTATACGTTTGAACCTTACCTTCCATTTCATTGTATCTGAGGAAGTGCGCGCGCCCACGAAAACTCCTACCTTGAACCAATCTTTGCTGGTCTTTTGGACTCTACGTTTGTTCTACTGCTTCAGACCAACACGCCTGACCACCTGGACCGCTCCTGCGTGTGAGTGGGGGGCTCAGTGACAATGGGCCCTCCCAGAAACCCGGGGTCCCGGCAGCTGCCCCACCTCAGGGTACGCTGAGGCAGGCCCTGTCCCGTCGTCCCAAGCTCGGGCTGCCATTTTGCCCTCTGCCTACGCTGAGGAGGTTCGCCCCCAGCATGGCGAAGGCAGCGGCTGCAGATGAGGCTGAAGGGCCCTCGAGGCAGGATGAGGACCTGGTGGCATTCATAACAGCCGTGCTGTTTCCTCGAGGGATTTTCTCTGGCTGTTCTGGACTGCTGCTGAAAGCGGCTGCTCCCTCGGCCTGTCCCGCCCGCCAACCCCAGGGCCTGCGTGTCACACTCTTCCCTTCTTTCTGGGACAGGACCAAAGAGAACGGCTTGGAGCGGGACCCCCTGCATCCGGAACACCTCAGCAAAAGGCCGTGCACCATGAGCCCCGCCCAGCGCTACAGTCCCAGCAACGGGCTTGGCCCCCAGCCCAACGGGCTGCCCCACCCGACGCCTCCCCCTCCCCAGCACTATCGCCTCGAAGACATGGCCATCGCGCACCACTACCGGGACACGTACCGGCACCCCGACCCTCGGGAGCTTCGGGAACGCCATCGGCAAGCCGGTGAGTGGCACGTTCAGGAAACAGCCGTCCCATGAGTCAAGGGGCTGGTCCCTCACTCACCCCCCGGCTCCTCTCTCTTGGGGCTCTGGGAAAGGTCTTTCCCTTCACCAGCCACCGGACTCTTTTGTCGCTGGGGGTCCTTCTGTGTCCAGAGCAGGGGCTCCAGTTTGGTGTCGTGGTTAAGTGAGTGGCCTATAATCTGGGAGAACCAGGTTTGATTCCCCACTCCTCCACTTGCACCTGGCTGGACAACCTTGGGCAAGCTGTAGTTCTGATAAGAGCTGTTCTTGAAAAAGAGCAGTTTCTGTTAAGAGCTCTCTCAACCCCACCTACCACACAGGGTGTTTGTTGTGGGGAGGAGAAGGGAAAGGAGTTTGTAAGCCACTCTGAGACACCTTTGGGTAGTGAAGGGCCATGGGGTATAAATCCAATCTCTTCTTCTCTTCTTCTTCCATCACTGAACCACGGCCCAGTCCAAGAACAGGAACCGTAGGGGGAAAACGGTCTTTTGGTACTTGGACAAGGGGGCCTAGTCTTAGCACACCAGCTGTGAGTCCAGTTGCCACGGAGAAAGGCAGACCAAGGCTTCCCTCTCCAAAGCTGTGGCCTCAAACAGGATTAGCTGAGAGAAGGCACAGCATTTCGCACTCAGCATCTGAGTCTCAGGCAGTGTTCCCTCTAAGCTGAGTTAGTGTGAGCTAGCTCACAGTTTTTTAACCTCCAGCTCTCACATTTTTGTCTTCGCTCAGGAAGGATGGCTCCGGAACAAACTGATTTAGGCAGCAGCCAACTCGCTCGCTCACAACCTTCATGCCAGTCGCTCACGAAGTAGAATTTTTGCTCATGAGACTCCACAGCTTAGAGGAAGCATTGGTCTGAAGCTAATAAAGTCTCTCTGATGAGAAACAGACCGCACCTTTCTTTTTCTCCTGAGGGCCAAAGGCAGAATGAGGAAGGGATCACTGTGGTTCATCTGTCGCACTGGATCTCTGGATCACAAACGCTTCTGCCGCAATAAATGCATGATTACTCTTTAAAGTGTCGCAGGCCTCTTGGTTGCATTGAAAGAGAGGAATACAATTAACCTTCCGGAACTGGCTAGTGGAATGTGCACTTGTCTACGAGTTTGGCTCTGGGAAACAGGGCTTGCAAGGTTTAAATTTTGTTATCAATATGGTTTGACCAGAGGCGTCAGTGAGACCAAAGAAAGGTCGCGCTCTGTGCAAGATGACTCTCTCAGTTCCCTGTCAACTCTTTTGAAACACATTGTTCAGCCTTAGTCGTTGGACCGCATGGGTTTTGATAGACTGGCCAATCAGTTCATTGATTACAACTAAATAAATTCGCTACTGCTCCAGTATACGTTAGTGTTAGAAGAGAAAGCCAACCTGGGACGTCAGGTGATCAAAACTCTTGGGATGTTAGTCCAATCTCTTGGACAGGTTCTCTCTCCATGCTTGACATCTTTCAAGGCCCTAAGTGACAGGGAGCATCTCATGAGCCATTTACTGAGTTGTCACCCTGTGCAGTTTTGAGTCCTAAGAAAGTTAATCAAAACTCTTGGGATGTTAGTCCAATCTCTTGGACAGGTCCCCCCGCCCAGCCCTCTCTTGAACTCGGGCTGCTTCCAGTGCCAAAGTAAGGGAATTTATTGTGCCCCGCCAACGGAATGTTTTTCTTCCTTAGCTGTGCACAGTTCCCGGCAAGAAGAAGTGATCGACCACAGGCTGACGGACAGAGAATGGGCCGAGGAGTGGAAACACCTCAACAATGTACGTACCAAATCCTGCTGTCCAGTTTGGAGGAGAGGAAGCCTATTGCTAGACGGAATCGGAGAGAGGGGGAAGCCAGTATTGGCCATGTGCCAGTCGGGGAAGAACTACCCACACCGTTTGGGCTCTCTTTCATCACCACCTGTTGCTTGGAGGGGGCATCCACCTGCTCTTATTTCCTTCCTGAAATACAAAACGCAATTATAGACCATCAAAATATTCACAAATTTCACAGATTACCAGTAGACATCAGTCTATTGCTTTGAAACGTCTGGCTTACCTAGGAAGGATGTTTTTCGGCTGCAGAAGTTTATTTGTGCTTTGGGACACTATTATACTGAAAGGTTATAGAGGAGTCTCTTGTCAGATTCTTTTTCTATTACTGAATTGTCATACCTTTTCTTGTCAATTTCTTGCATTGCAACTTGTGTGTTTGAACTGTGACCACCAACATTCTACTTTATTAATTGATTTATGGTACTTAAGTTGCAATAGACTGATGTCTACTGGCAATCTGTGAAATTTGTGAATTTTTTTGATGGTCTACCTTTGCATTTTGTATTTCTATATATCACAAATGCTTTGGGTCCCTATTGTTTGGCTTATTTCCTTCCTGGCAAAGGGGACCTCCATTCATCCCAATTTTTGGCTGGAAAACCAGTTTGTAGGGAATCACACCTGGCCACGATGGGGGGGGGGGAGTTTTCACTTAAGAAAATAGAAAGAGTTCTTTCAGGCTTAGAGAATCTCTGCCCTGCTTCCTTGTCCTGGGAGCCTCAAGAAAGCAGATCGCCTTTCCCCGCATGCCCTCTCCCTCATACACACACGTAAGAGCACTTCCTCCTTCCCTTTGGGCACCACAACTTGACCGCCATATTGAAAGTACAAACAAAGCTCACAGTGTATGGGGGGGAGAGAGAGAAAGGGAAGAAACACATTCACGTTGACCTCTACTTCTCACTGATCCTCACAGCGACCCTGTGAGGTGGGCCATTCTTACATGTGGGGAACAGAGGCTGGTGTTGTCAGAGGGTTAGAACATATGAACATAAGAACCTCAGAAGAGCCCTGCTGGATCAGACGAGTGAGGGTCCATCTAGTCCAGCCTCCTGTCTCTTACAATGGCCAACCAGTTCCTCTGGAGGGCCAACAACAGGACAGAGAGGCCGAGGCCTTCCCCTGATAAGAACCTCAGAAGAGCCCTGCTGGATCAGACCAGTGAGGGTCCATCTAGTCCATCATCCTGTCTCACACAGTGGCCAACCAGTTCCTCTGAATGGCCAACAAGAGGGCAGAGAGGCCAACGCCTTCTCCGAATGTTGCCTCCTGGCTCTGGGATTCAGAGGTTGACTGTCTCTGAATATGGAGGCTCCCTTTAGTCACCAGGGCTAGTAGCGGCTGATGGACCTCTCCTCCATACGGTTTAGGGAGACTCGCAATCCCAGGCGACCCAAAATCTTATTGTGGCTTCTACCCAGCAGCTGCTGAATTGCATTATGGACATGGTGGAGAAGACACGCCGGTCACTCACTGTGCTGCGCCGCTGCCAGGAGGCGGACCGCGAGGAGCTCAACCACTGGATCTGCCGCTACAGCGACGTGGGGGACATGAAGAAGGGCTCCAGCCCCGCCCCCCGCCCCCACAACAGCTCTGCTAACCCTGAGACGCCACCTCTAGGTATAGGGTCAAGGGAGACGTGGGGGATGAGCCGGCTGCAGGAAGCTCCGTGCCCTGTGGGGCAGTTGGGGCTAGGTCCTCGCAAGCCCCCTGGACGTGACAGCACTGGGGGGGGGACTTACAAGTTGTCCATCCAGTTTGCCCTGTCCCTTCCAGCCTTGTCAGAGAGGCTGCTCGGCTGAGACATGGGATCTACCATGAGATGTGGGTAAAGAGAAGTGTGCTTCTGGATTGGTCTTTGCTGTTGGCAGAGTTAGAACCGTCTTTCCCCTGCCTCTTGAAAGGGACCATTCCTGTCTCTGTGGACCCAACCGGCCCTCTGGGAAACAGAGGCAGAGCCGGACATGCCGGGCAGCATGGCTTCTGGCCTTCCCTCGCCTCGGCCTTTTGCTACATCTGGGAGGCAGATCCCCATGTGCCCAAAGAGCCAGGGGGGTCTCTTCGCCTTTTAGGCATTTCAAGTCGTCCTTCTGGGCCTCCGCTGCAGTTGCCTGATGGGTCAGGGCCTCTCTTGTCTCCTTACAGATACTCACCGTGAATTTGGGTCCCGGCCAGCTCTCTCTGGCTACATGCCTGAAGAAATCTGGAGGAAAGCGGGTGAGTTTGGATGGGAAGCGGGGAGATGCTTTCTTCTCTCATTGGCCTCCAGCGCTCCGTGGCTGGAGCGGGAGGTCTGCAACGTATTGCAGGAAGTGGCTGGATCCTTCTTTTTGAATTTTCTCAGAGGAGTTTAGCCGTGTTAGTCTGTTGCTGCAAAAATAGTAAAAAGCCCCGTAGCACCTTTAAGACGAACAAACGTTACTGTAGAATAAGCTTTCTTCTCTTCGTCAGATGAGAGAGAGCTGTGTTTCTCAAAAGCCTAGGCTACAATAAAGTTGGTTAGTCTTAAAGGTGCTACGGGGCTTTTTACTATTTTAATTTTTTTGACGTTTCAATCAACTCCCCCCCAAAACAGAAAGAATCCTCCCTAATCGAAGCAGCCGAGTTCTTCGTCAGATGAGAGAGCTGTGTTTCTCAAAAGACTAGCAAACCTTATTGTAGCATAAGCTTTCTTCTCTTTGCCAGTTGAGAGAGAGCTGTGTTTCTCAAAAGCTTATGCTACAATAAAGTTGGTTAGTCTTAAAGGTGCTACGGGGCTTTTTACTATTCTAAATTTTTTGACGTTTCAATCAACTCCCCCCCAAAACAGAAAGAATCCTCCCTAATCGAAGCAGCCGAGTTCTTCGTCAGATGAGAGAGCTGTGTTTCTCAAAAGACTAGCAAACCTTATTGTAGCATAAGCTTTCTTCTCTTTGTCAGAAGAGAGAGAGCTGTGTTTCTCAAAAGCCTATGCTACAATAAAGTTGGTTAGTCTTAAAGGTGCTACGGGGCTTTTTACTATTTTAATTTTTTTGATGTTTCAATCAACTCCCCCCCAAAACAGAAAGAATCCTCCCTAATCGAAGCAGCCGAGTTCTGCCGCCTCCCACAGGGCATCTAGCCAGCGCAGGCTGCGTCCGAGTTAGACATCCCAAGCAAACGGGGACTGTGCCTCCAGTGGTACAGGGCTCTTGATGCAGGTCCCCGGCTTCCTCTGGCTCTCCGTGCGGCACTGCACATTCAGGTTATTTCTGAACACCGCGTGCAGCAGATAAAACGTTATATTTAGATTGGGGATAGGTTCGGGTCAGGGTCAGAATTCAGATCTCTGCTCAGCTACAGAGCTTGCTGTATGGCCTTGGCCACTCTCTCTCGGCCTAGCAGGACGGCCCCCTTTGGTGCCCCCTAAAATCCTTAGGCGGGGGGTTGGGTAGCAAGAAATCCTGGGAAGACCGAAGAATGAGAAGGTTGGGGAAATCCTGCAAGCGGGAGAGGACCGTGGGCTTCCTTGGGCTTCCCGGTTAACTAACATGTCGAGGTCTTTGCCCCCGACCTTGCACGGGCCAGCACCTGACATTTTGGCCAGGGGGGAGGGATCCAACACTCTCTCTAAGCTGTGGAATCTTGTGAGCAGAAATTCTACTTTGTGAGCTCCCGGCACTAAAGTTGTGAGCGAGCGATTTGGCTGCTGCATAAATTAGTCTGCTTTGGAGCCATCCTTCCTGAGCTAAGACGAAAATGTGTGAGCCACAGGCTAAAAAACTGTGAGCTAGCTCACACTGACTCAGCTTAGAGGGAACACTGGGGATCCAAATGTACCTCTGTCGTGGCAGCCTTGCTAATGGGGGCTCTTGAGAGTCTGCACCACTCCTCAGGTCTTGCATCTCCTCCATGTTGTGCGCCTTGCACTGTGCTCTTCCTTTCAGAAGAAGCCGTGAACGAGGTGAAGCGGCAGGCCGTCTCCGAGCTCCAGAAGGCGGTGTCCGACGCCGAGCGGAAAGCCCACGAGCTGATCACGACGGAGCGGGCCAAGATGGAGCGGGCCCTGGCGGAGGCCAAGCGCCAGGCCTCCGAGGACGCCTTGACCGTCATTAACCAGCAGGAGGACTCCAGTGAGGTAGTGACACCCTCTCCCAACCTGGATTATGGCGCCAGAGTGGTGGGCTGGAAACAGGAATTACTCGGAGGGATCTCGCGGGTCCCTCCTGTCCCTGAATGAGTGAATTGAGAGCAGTCTGGAGCCGAATGCCCCAAGGGAGAGCCTGCCCTTAATAGCCCTGGTGGAGATGGTCTCGGTGCTCCAAGCTTGTCTTTCCATCCGCGCTGATCTGTGTGCTTTCGCCTTCTCCTGTAGAGCTGTTGGAACTGCGGGCGCAAGGCCAGCGAGACCTGCAGTGGATGCAACACGGCGCGCTACTGCGGCTCCTTCTGCCAACACAAAGATTGGGAGAAGCACCACCACGTCTGTGGGCAGACCCTCCAAGGTCTCCAAGCTTCAACCGGAGCAGCCTCGGCAGGCGGGGTAGGGCTGAGCGTGGCATCGGCTCAGCCGGACACAGTGGCCACGAGTACCTCCATCCCCAGCGTGGCCGTGAGCCCCAGTGACAGTGGCTCGGCCACCGCCTCGCGTTCTGGCACGCCGGCCACGCCAGCTCCCCTGGACCCGGCGTCCCGCTAGGAAGGCAGAAGGGAAAGGATACAGAGACATCATTGGCCACCGACTGACGCTGCTGCTAACGTTTCTCTCCAAATGAAAAACAAAACAAAACTGCATTCAATGCAAATCCTCAGCTACCTGACACGTATTTGACCTCCAAAATGACCTCTCTCTCTCTCTCTTTCTCACACGAAATCCTCACGAATTCTCAAACCTGGGCTTTAAGTGGAGTTAAGGCGAATAGCAACCTTCTCCGTTCACTCGTCAGTTTTCTTTTTAATTCTTGTTCTGATTCTTGCCGATATGATTTGGGGAGATTTCTGATTATTGCTTTGGATGAGGGATTTGTCTGCCAGCATCTCGACTCCTGGGGGAGGGGGAGAAAAGGAGAACACAACGAGAATCCCGTCTCTCTTCCGCTGGAGATGCGCACGGGGAAGGGACGACGGCACCAGGATCCCCTTCCACGGAAGGCGAAGGGGAGGAAGGCAGGAAAAGACACACGCCAGGATCTCAGTTACAGAAGCAAGATTTTTTTCTTTTTTGTAAAAAAATAATAATAACTAAATAAAAAATAAACAATAAAAACATCAACCTCTTTGGCTTTAAGTAAAACAGAAAAGAGAAGAATCCAAAAAGAACCCAACAAAACCAAGTGACGGAAGCTGACCTATAAACTACCTTGCTAGCTAGCCAAGAAAGATACCAGATTCACCTCTGCTCCAAAGGAAATCCAAAAACCGAAAAGAAAAAAAAAATCCAAACTTTTTTTCCACTGCCAAAGTTTTCTTTTTTTGTTTGGTTGGCTCCTTCTTTCTCTTTCTCCTCATTTTTGGGGGCTTTTATTTATTTACGTCTTTCGCAAACCGAGGACGAACGCATCGCAGGTCCGGCCGACGGAGGGTGTTCTGCGGATGGCGACGCTGGCGGAATTTGACTCCTTGCGTTCTTGGACAGGGTGGGAGGGGCCATTGGTGCGCCTGCTGGACCGCCATTGTGCCGGACAGAGAGCATCTGTGGGATCGAAAGAGATTTTTCATAGAATAAAGCAAAAACACACAATCCCCCCCCACCACTTTTGTATGTGTGTGCGACCGCGTGTTCGTGTGTGTGAGGCACAAGAGACTCTATGAGCTCCCTCCCTTGGTGGATTATAAATCTGTTGCATTTTCTCTCTGTCTCTCAAAGAGCATTAAGGAAGAAAAGGTGTGTCCACCTGCACACCTGCCCAGCCCGTTCCAGAGAGAGCGCTCTTTCAGAAAAACCTGTGATTCTCTTCTGCCTGTTCTCGGCTGTTTTTCAGAACAGGAGCAGAACTGAACCGTGCCGGCCTTTCTCTGCCGGGCTTCTCTGCCACTACCTCTCTGTGCTTTCCGTAACCTACCAAACCCTGGGCAGTTTCTTGCGCTTTGCCATCCTGACTTCTGCCAAACAACCGTCAGACTCAAAAGAAGCCTTTTGTCCCCCCCACCCTTTCCGAAGACTGTTTTGAAGGCCTGTAGATACCCCTTGGCTCTCCTGTCGAGTCTTTCCAATGTCTTGTGGCAAAATATCTCCGTGAAGGTCTTTCTTTCGTCCCCTCCCCCCCTTCAGTTTTGGGTTTTTGCTTTCCCCTTTTCGTCTTCCATTCCCGTCAGATTTGCCATTATTTCTGGGAGGAACCCAACAGATGCTTGTCCTTAGAGAAGAAGGGGGAGACAATGTTGATTTGTCGTGTTACTGCACATCCTTGTACAAAATCGCTGAGGACGGGCGTGCAATATGGGGAGCGGGCCCAGCAGCGGGGAGGGGGAAACGAAAAGGACTGCCCAGCCAGGGGCTCAGGGCCCAAACGCTGTACCTTTAATGTGAATGTATATAGTATTTGCAGAGGTCCAAAAATAATAATAATAATAATAACGGTGATAATAAAAAAGAGACATTTGCCAAATAATAATATAAAAAAAAAACCCAGATAAACCACTTGTGTGTGGGAAAGTTAGGAAACAGGTTTTCAAGGGAAGACAAAACCGTGCGCTCGTGACGAGTTACCATTTTGTGGCATTCGCAGAATCCTTCATGCTTGGTTTGGCTTTTCCTTTCTTTTAAAAAAAGAAAGCACAGGCAGGGTCTTGGCTGTGGCAGCACCAGGGTGGCTGGCCGGAGGACATGGCGGCGCTCTCGGGTCTCTCGTTCTTTTCTCTCCCTCCCTCTCCTGCTGTTTTCTGCCATGGTGTCCAGTTCGGCATCGTCCCACAGAAACGGGTGGTGAAGAACATTTCCTTCCGGGGCTCCGTCTTGTTTCCTCTTCCCCGCACCAGACCCCAAGAGGCCTCACAGTGGCGGCCAAGACACCCTTCCTCAGTTTGACGTTCCTCAATACGGAAGCAGGTCCGCTTTTTGCCTGGGCCCAAGTTGTGCGCCCCGAGAGGGCTGTGGTTGTTCAGTGGTTGTTTGTTCACGGTGAGCTCTGGGGTGGCGCATCCCGAAGGCAGACGTTGTGTCCTGCAGTCTCTTGAGACACGCAGTGTGGGTCTCATCTGGCAACCAGTGCTCCCTTTAAGCTGTGGAGTCTTGTGAGCAAAAACTCTGCTTGGTGAGCTACCGGCATGAAAGTGGTGAGCGAGCCATTTGGCTACAGCATAAATTAGTTTGCGCTGGAGACCTCCTCCCTGAGCGGAGGCAAAAAGTTGTGAGGCCAGAGGCTAAAAATCTGCGAGCTGGCTCACACTCACTCAGCTTAGAGGGAACGCTGCTGGCAACCCTAACTGGGCTTTTTCCTCCAGCAAGCGAGGAAGGCCACTGAGGGAAGGGAGAGAAATGCAAGAATGGGGTTAACTCCAGCGCCCCACTTCTCTGGTAGTCCCCACATCAGAAGCCATAAGGGCTGGAACCAATCTCGCGAAAGCGGATTTCAAGGGAGAGAGAAACAATCAACCAAGAGTTATCCTTGGCGAGGTGAAGGCCCGTCAAAGGCCTCCGGCCTCTGTGTTGGCTTTCCGGTAGTTCCCCTTCTACGGCCGCTGCGCCGTCAGTAGCACTACTGGTCAGCAGAGCTGGAAATTGCAGCGAAGGGAGAGGACGGTTATTTCACCGACAGTCAATGGTTCCATCTCGGCCCCTCCACGTCTCAAGTAACTTTCCCAAAGAGCAGGTTTAGTGGCGTTCTGAGTAGAAAGCTCGCCAGCCTCGGGTCGCCAGTTCCCAGGTGGGGCCTGGAGATCTCCCAGAGTTGTAACCAATGCTCCCTCTAAGCTGTGGAGTCTTGTGAGCAAAAATTCTACATTGTGAGCTACTGGCCTTAAAGTTGTGAGTGAGGGATTTGGCTGCTGCATAAATCAGTTTGCTCTGGAGACCTCCTTCCTGAGCAAAGACAAAAATGTGTGAGCCGGAGGCTAAAAAACTGTGAGCTAGCTCACACTGACTCAGCTTAGAGGGAACACTGGTTGTAACTGACCTGCAGACTGCAGAGCTTCCCTGGGGGGGGGAGGAATGGCTGTTTTGGGGGTGGACTCTACTGAGGCCCCTCCCTTCCCCCAGGCTCCACCCTCAAACCTCCAGGAATTTCTCAACGTGGAGCTGGCAACCCTATGCCAACCACAAGTGTGGCCTGCAGACCTCCTGGAATTCCAAGTGGTCTACAGACTACAGGGATGGGCTCCCCTGGAGGAAAGGGCAGCTTTGGAAGGTGGGCTCTCTGGGATTTCCCTTGGGTGGAGCAAGGGTATTATTGCATGGTGAGCCCCCCAGGTTCCAGTTTTGGTGTCTCCTTGTAGAAGGTGGCGGGTAAGGGGCGCCTCTGCCAATGATCCCAGCAAATAGGAGCTGCCAGTCAGAGTCAGAAACAGGGGCTTGGCTTTGCAGCAGGCAGAATCCCGAGTCCCGCGGCAGGCTTGGTGAGCCGGCCAGCAGGACCCTCCCCCCGACCCCTCGCACCTGCCACCCCACCCTACCCCTCCTCTGTTGGGGCTCCGCCGCCACTCTTCCTGTCCCGGTGCAAATGGCACGAGACGGGCATCTGTGCAGCCAGCCCATAAAACTCCCTTGGTGCGGGCAGCGTTTCCCCCATTTTACCCCAAAAGGTCTCTGCACCTCCCAGCAGGCTGACACAGCATTGCTCTTGGTGTCTGACTGTGCCTCTGTGCAGGAGAAGCCTTTATGGGAGGGAGAGAAGGAAGAGCCGGCGGTCACCTCTGGGGGCTGCTGCGGAACACCCAGGCCTCCTCCTGTCCCCAAGCCAGGTTGGAGCCCATGCTGGGAATTTGCCCAGTGACGGGACTGGAGTGGTTCGCTGCCATCTCACTGGGACCAGAGCCACGTGCCCGGCCATCTCTTTCTTCCCTCCCTTGCCGCCTTGCTTGTGATTGAAAGCCGCGGCGGTCCCACCCGGTCGCTCTGTGGCTGCACACCCAAGAGCCAGTGGTTCAGAGGGGGGAGACCCGACCCACGGAGCCTGACTCTGCACTTAGGGTTTCGGGAAACAAGCAGAAGGCAGAACGGAGCCAAACACCCCTTACTGGTAGTGAGAATGGTTGTTTATCCCACAATGTATGTCTATGGTTTATTCCCTCCCCCTTTAATATTTCATGCAAAGAGGTAATATATAAACGGTGTATGTCAAAGGCCTGCCCCACTCATCTCCGTGTGCGGTTCGCTTGCTCAGTCGTCTCTCATGCTTTGATTGTATCCCTCGTTTCTTTCTCATTGGCTGTTGCTCATCCGCTCTGCACTGAGACCTTGTGGTTCTACCTCCAACTGAAACCATAGATAGACAGAAATCGGAGAGGAATTGATTACGTACGGATTAAGAAGGAATTGGATGGACTTGCATTCAAATCCAAACCAAAAGCTATAGCAGGGAGGCTGGGAGGGGGCGCCGCCTTTGCCGAAGCCTCAAAGTGGCTACCCCAAAACTGACAGCTTTAACGTATAGCATTTGAGTGTCTCCCCCAACCCCATACTGCCCGTCCTAAGTTGGCTTCCAAAATGGCAACAGGAAACGAGCGAAAGCAAGAAGCAGCCAGGAAAGATGGGATGATGTGGGGGTCCTGATCCTCCGTGACGCAAAACCAATTGAAAATGTTCCTGTTGTCAGCAAGGACTTTGTTTACATTGTTCGTTGTTCAATGAGGACTTTCTTACATTGTTCACTGTTAACTGAGGACTGGCTTTCCCAGGTGCTTTGCTGTGAGACGGTCTTTTGCCACGCCACAGTAAGCATGGCCTTCCTCATGGATGTACCACCTTTCAGAATCCCCATGGCTTTCGATTAGGCCTCCTGCCATGCCAACTATAAAAGTGCTATTCCTTCTGGAACCAAAAGCAGCGGGTTGGATTTAGAAATACCCTCGCAATGTGCAGATAAGGAGAGCTTCATGGTGGTCCTTGTTTCCACACAAAGTGGACAGGCCACACACGCTTTGTGGAGGAGAGCAGAAGGCATTTGAGGAGGGGCACCAGTTTGGGAGATCTGCTAGTTGTGGGAGACCCAGAGAATGCCGGGGAGCTTCTGGCCACGGTGCGTGTGGCCCCCTTCCCTGGAAAGGTCTGAGAAGCCCCTCTTGGTTCTCTTCTAATGCTCGGGCTGGATTATTGCCCCCGTCGATGGCAATGGGGGGCTGCCTTTCCCTGCTGGGACTGACTTCTGCAGGGTTGGGTTCCTTCCCTCGGGAAGCCGGTTAAGATAACAAAAAAAAAAGCTCGGGAAAGTTGCACCGA